CTAATACATTCATCCCGTTATATGCAATTCGCGTCATGAAAACAATCTGCGGCATTAGAAGACTATTCCCTCTGCATCACCTTCCCTCCCAGTCCTATAATCCCGTGTATATCTATTTATGGATGATTACGGGGCAGGCAACCATGATGGCGATGACTTGAGACATACTTACATGTTCTCTCCGTGAAGTGACTGATATAGTATTGTTGCCGGGATGTAGATTGTCACTGAAATAATATAATTCCTTCCAGGCACCAGACCAGTAAATGTAACGCTCTGTGGTAATGTTGTCCTGGTCTGAGATTGGATATTTGTCCGTCTTGACGCTCTTTAAGGAGGCGATATAGTAGAACAGGTCAACAGAGGAACATGTTCCATGACACTGTTATGGTGGTCGCATTCTTGGCAATGGTGCTGACATTGACATTGGCTGGCACTGTGAAAAAAAAATGCAGATTTTGATGACAAATTGTTACACCAACAGTTTCCCTTTGACCATACCTCACAACGCTGGTCAGTGCGAGTCAGTGAATACTAGAGGGTGGGGGTGCATAGAAGTACAGTGATCCCTTGCTTAATGCACTGGATGCATCCCTGAAGAGTGCTGCGTTAAACTAAAGCCACGTCAAGCGAAGAATTATCGTTCAAATAATCACATTTACACTGTAAAATAATCAGCTTGCAGGCCATCCCATGGGGGAACAAGTGAGGGCATGACGCCACGCAACCATATCGTTCTGCGTACTGTATCACTGCACTGTATGACTTATGGCGCAGCTCAGAAAGTAGTTCGTCGTCGAACAATCGGCAACTGGGTTACAACAGCGCGCATTCCGTGTTATAACAGTGTACGTTCCACGTTATAACAGCGTGTGTTCTGCTTTACAATGGTGCGCGATCTACGTCACAATGGCGCACGTTCTGCGTTATAAAGGCGTGCATTCCGCATTATAACAGGTATGCGTTCCGCGTTATAATGGTGCACGTTCCGCTTTACAACGGTGCGCGTTCTGCATTATAATAACGATGCAAATTCCACGTTATAATAATGGCACGCATTCCGCATAATTACGCACATTCCGGTATTATAATAATGGCGCACATTCCGCGTTATAATGGCGCACATTCTTCGTTATAGTAACGGCACACATTCCGGGTTATAATAACGGCGTGCGTTCTGCGTTATAATTACGGTGCACATGCGCGTTGTGTGACAAAACATGTTAAGCGAGAACTTACTGGACAGTACAACAATCGTTTGCTGCACTGCCAGCTGCTGCATTATGCAAACCCGTTTCAAAGGAAATTTTAAAAAATTATCCCATACAATATCAGTTAAACATAATGATCGTCATCATATTAACGAAATGTGTCGGACCTCGCATACAATATGTGTTGAGGCAGCATAACGAAGGGCATAAGACAAATACGATGTGTAAAAACAACAGTAGGAGCTTGCGACTGTTCTTTCTGTTTTTAGTTATGCTGTTGTACACTACAATACAATTTACATTTATATAGCATCTAGATGCAACCGCATATGCAAATGCTTCACATGGAAAAAACATTGTTTTAGCTCCATGCTTGTAAAAACAAGTAGGGCTTTAAGTCTTGACTGGAACAAGGAAAGCAGATTTCAACGCGTTCGAAGTTTCAAGGGAGAGAGACAATTCCAGACATTTGAGAGCAGAAGCCGGGAAGAAGCGACCTCCACCATGGAAATGAAGGTTGACAACTGTGGGCTTTGTAAGATGAAGGCCTTCATTGTGGGGGTGGTGAAAATGTCCCAAAAGGTTAAAGTGAGATGAGAGGAGAAGTATGGAGGGACAAGAGCATAAAATCGTCTTTTAAAAAACAATAATTGCAATCTTAAAAGTGGATCTGAGACCAGACAAGAAACCAGTGCAGTGAGCGTCGGAGTGCTGCTGTGATATGACATATTTTTAATGTACTGGTGAGGAGGCTATGCAGGGGCATTCTAAATCCATCAGTAACCTTCTTGGTTCATTCGGTAAAGTCACGTAGAAGGAAAGTAATAAAAGAATAAAAATAAAACATAATAAAATAATTATCACCACGTTTCGGCTACAACCAAGCAGCCGTCTTCAGGTGAAGAATGATACACTGCCAAGCTTCGAGCTTATATATAAGCTGGGTTGGAGGTGGAAGAAGAGCGCCTTGACAAAATAATTAGCATATCAAGAGGAATATAGCATATTCATGGGAAATGCGTAGGAGGTGGGCAGGGGGGTTCAAAGTCATATTATGCCCATGCATTATGCAGGATTAGCAGCATCAAAGGGAGGGGTAGGGGGTAGCATTAACAAAGGGAGGGGATGTTAATAGTATTTAGAAGCAATGAAACATGCCAATGAGAGAGCGGTTGAAGGAGACCCGCAGCGGAGCAAATAATGCATTCCCTGTGGAGAACACAAGATACACAGTCAATGCCAGTGAGTGGACTGCGGTCTGAAAGTCACCGTAAACGTGAACAACAATCAGTTAAGATCCGAAATGGTTTATTACGTCCTTCCAATGATTGCTGAGCCAGAATCCATCTTCTCGGTTGAAATTGTCTCTGTGTTTGTATATGTGGATCGCCTCATGAACGAATCTCTCATGGTAGCCAGATGGCTTGCAGAGAACCTCTGTCTTGGAGAAGTCAATGTCATGTGAGCCCACTGAATTGTAACAGTGATCTGTCACGGCTGAGGTGTTTGTCCTACCGTGTTTCAGGTCTGCATTATGTTCACGGATGCGGTCCGAGATATGTCGTTTGGTTTCTCCATTGTAACTGCTACCACAGAGGCAACTTTGTTTGTAGACACCAGGGTACTGTATGTCTGGAACCACGTCTTTTACAGACGGGACCAGATCATGGATTTTATGTACTGTGTTGAATCGGACCTGGATCTTGTGTTTAATCAGGATTTTGGAGATCTTTTTTGTGACCCCAGCAATGTAGGGTAAGGTGATGGTTTTGAAAGGCTCCTCAACAGGATCCTTCTTGATGGTTGGAGTGATGGCTTTACAGATTGTGTAGTCGGAGTAACCATTAGCCTTAAGAGCTTGGCGTACGTGTTTGAGTTCACTGGCAATGTGTTCCTGGTCGGAGATGCATTGGGCTCTATGGTATAGAGTCTTGATGAGGGAGTTCTTCTGGGATGGATGGTGGTGGGAATCCGGTTTTAGGTAAGCATCCGTATGGGTGGCTTTCCTGTAGACAGAATGGCTCATTGAACCATCAGTACTCCTTTTAATTAGGACATCCAAAAAGGGTAGCTTGCCATCTTTTTTGACTTCCATGGTGAATCTGATGGCTGGGTGTATGGAATTGATGTGGTCGAGGAATTGGTCTAGAGCAGGCCGGCCATGTGGCCAGATGACAAAAGTGTCATCTACGTACCTCTTCCATAAGGTTGGGCGTAGAGTGGCAGTCTGGATGGCGTCAGAGCAACACGCAACAACAAGGAACGGTAACAATCAACGGAAGGGAAGAGTCTTGGATCTGGTATGTGATGCCGGACCATTCCTTGCATGAACAGGGGACTCTGCTGACAGCAATCCAGGCAGGGTTGGAAGAGCGGCGGAATCGACATCCCTTGCCGCAGGTGAAGGCCCAGCCAGTGCAGGATCACCTCTGTCCAGTTGGCTCAGGGCCGCCGAGTCTGTGGGAGGCAAAACAGGCCCCTTCGTAGGTTCAACAGGCAAGAGGGCAGCTTGCCGAACACATCAGACACATTCAAGGCAACCTTTGGGGATGATGGATCGATGCGAGGGGCAAAGAAAGGTTTCAACTGCGAAGTGTGGACATACCAACGGCACGACCCTGCCTGGATGTGTGCGCACTGGGGACTAGATACTTCGATCAATTCCACAGAACCTTGCCAAGGTCTGTGCAGCTTGGGAGAGGTCCCGACGGGCACCTGTGGGCAATGGAGCCAGGCCCGGTCCCCTACAGCCCATGGCATTGCGCATTGGGAGTGCCGAGCACACCGCTCGTTATGGGCCTGGGTTTTAGACGTGGCAATCCGTGCCGCATCTCGCGCCTCCGTGACGCGGCGAACCGTGTTGCAAACGTATTCGGGGAGAGTCTGCGCGGACTCCTTAGCGCACACACCCAACTGCACATCAACAGGTGGCACGTTATCACGCCCATACATGAGGAAAAAGGGTGAGTACCCAGTGGACGCATGCAGTGCCATCTGGTAGGCAGAGAGCACCCCAGAGATGTACAAATCTCAATCGGCCTGCTTCTCGCTAACTGTATGGCAGAGCATAGCCGACAGGGTACGGTTCAACCGCTCAACCATCCCATCCGTTTGCCGGTGGTAGGTGAAGTACGTACTTTCCTGGTGCCCAATGCATCACACAAATTACGCAACAACTTAGACGAGAAGTTGTGGCCTTGATCCGTAAGCAGCCGTTCGGGCTCGCCCTTGTCCATCACGTACCCGTACAGAAATGCCTCCATGATAGTCGACGCCGACTGATCAGGCAAGGGCCAAGCCACCGACCACCGCGAGAAATATTCCACACCCACCAACAGAAATTTGTTACCCCGGGTGGATGGGGGAAAGGGCTCGAGGATGTTCAGCGTCACCAGCTCGTTAATGTGCGTCACCTGGATCAATTTCAAGGGCGGAATATAACCCCGTTTTGGCAGCTTCCGACAATTGCACTCGGAACAAGCCTGTATGTCCTTGGCGATATCAGTCGTCATGCCATGCCAAAAATAGTCCAGCTGTAACGTGAGCAAGGTTTTCTGCACGCCAAGATGTAACAACTTCTCGGCATGCAGTACTCGAGTTAATTCATACCGAAGCAGGACAGGAACCACCATGCGCCAATGGCTCAGCAAATCATCCCTCCACATCAACTACCCATCCCAGAGGGCCGCATGCGGGGAATCGTCCGCAGACGAGGACACCCGCGGCCTGCCCACCTGACCTCGAAACGAAGTCAATGATTCGTTCAACAGTTGCTCACAGACCCATACCAAATGCGACAAGCTCAACACCCCGTCAGCTGGCTCAGGACAGGCCGGGCATGTGAAATCCGCCATCGCGGACATGACCAGCCGAAGGGTCTGAGAGGGGCGCGTGCACCAATTAGTGCCCGAGGTGCACGCACAAGAGGATCCCTGCAGTAATCGGGAGAGCGCATCCGCATTACCATGACGAGAACCTTTAAGGTACCGTATATCAAACGAGAATTTCTGCAATTTCTCCAACCACCGCGACAACTGGCCAGAGGGCTGTTCGATCTTCAAGGAATATTGCAAGGCGCCATGGTCCGTGCGCACCAGAAATGTTCTGCCGTACAGGTACGGCCAATATTGGCGAACAATATGAACAATCGCCAATAACTCCCTACAGGTTAAACAATAGCGGGTTTCAGTCGACGAGAGAACGTGGCTCGTATATGTCACCACAC